CCGAGTAAATGGGGTTAATATATGATATCCCATAACAAACAATTCTTTGCGTAAATAAACAGTCTGTATTCACGAAATAATTAAAATCGCCAGTTTTAAACCTGAAAATGGAAATCTAAGCTATTACTAATGTTTTTCTAAAATTTAGAAATCATTTGACAATTATTTGATGCAGTTTGACCAAGGAACTACTGTTTGGCTAGGCTTGAGAATCAGTTACTTCCCCATGCTTGCCATAACCTTGTTAATCAATTATTTATTTATTTCAAATGGCAGGCGTTTTGATAGTTATCATTAGCCCTTTAGCTGACTTCGGGCTTCACAGAGGGAAGGAACATCAAAGTGAGAAAAAGTCTAGAGGAGGAATAGAAGAATGAATCACAGATGTAAAAGAGACAGACAGAAACGAAGATAGAGGAAAAGGAAATGTGAGTATTGTGGAAGTTGTGGAGTATAGTATACCGTGAGGTCGTGGGAGTTTTGAGTCAGAAGTCAACTTACGATTTATGCACTTTTTTTCGTATAAGTAAACGTTGCCCAGGGTGAACCACGCGGAGATAGGTTCATCGTACACCCCTGTCGAGTTTAACATCTTTTTTAGCTTGTACCTTGATTATGAACAAGAGAACTAAAATTAATGCAATGGTTTTACGAGATATCTATTAGAATATCCTTCTAATCTAAATGCTCATTTTAAGTATTGTCAGATGTCCCAGGACTATGAATTATAAATGGCCAAGATTGCTCCGAATAGCTACTATATTGGTTAGTAGTGAAGTAAAATAATGGGAATTCCATAATCAACAAATCACTTTGTTACTTAACAGAAGATTTGAAATGAAACATCGAATTTTTATTAAAAAAACACGCGAAAACCTATTTCCATTCCTTTATCAGAGAAACTGGGGACAAGGTCAGAGTACTTGTCTAAACCCGAAAAGACCGGATGAGGACAAGTTTAAGCAGATTTATGTTAATTAAAGGAAAGCATAGAGACAGGCGATTTAATGACTAATTCATAACCAAGGCCGAATCCTAGTCCTGGTATTCATTCAAGAAACGTGGTATGGGTTAATTAATAATGAGATGCAACCTGGCTCAATGGTTTTGCACTTCAGTTATAATTTTTCCTTAAAAAACTTTTTAATTCTTTTACTACATTATGTTGTTAACAAATAACGCCAGAGAATGTGTTGATTTTGATTCAAAAGCTTTCGTATGGGAATAATGAGTTAGATAAATGATTTTCATTTACCTTAGAAGTGCCATACTATTGAGCATTCCCTATTAATAGCTCAAATTGTGGCGCCCATTATTTTGATTAATTAACTCTTTTCATTCTGTCGTTGATACTGCAGACATTAACTAAATTCCAAGATAATTAGTTTAACATCACGAAGTGCTAGGAAAGGATTTCAAAAGTTTATTTATATCAAATGGCAAGCATTTAGATAATTATCACTACCCCTTTAGTTGACTTCAGGCTTCACAGAGAAGAAGGAACATCAAAGTGAAAAAGCCGAGAGCGGGAGGGGGGAACAGAAGAGTATTTCTAAGGTGAAAAAGAGACAGGCCCAAAGGTAGAAAATAAAGTGAGGTGAGTACTGTGGAAGGAGTCGAATATGACACACAGTGGGGTGATGGTAGTTTGAAGTCGGAAGTCAACTGCCGGTTAATAGACTTTTTGCCGTATGAGCATGCGTTACCCAGGGTGCACCACGTGGAGGTAAGTCTATCATACACCCCAGGATTTCACAAGTAGAGATCAATACTTAGTGTGAAAGCTAATTGGATTTGTTAAAGGGTATAAACTATGATCCACTAACTAATTATTATGAAGTCAAACTCAGTATTGTTAGTGCATCATAACCTCATTACTCATGCACTGGACTATTGATTTTTGAACTTACGCCCTTGTGCCGGAATTTGCAGTCGTACTGCAATTATCCGCTAATCAAATAACCTGGATCAAATCTACACAAACGAAGCCATAGTGAGAATTGCACACCTCCTCTTCTTTTTTTCTGGTAATAAAATTACGGTGGCAAACTTTGTTGAGCATAGCTTTTTAATAAAAAGCGGTATATTATAACAAAAGGTTAAAAGGTGTTGTAGCAACCATGATGACGCTTTTAATTGACTTTTCATTTTTTGAGGTTGTCACCGGTTGCCAACGCTACGGAAATAATTATAAAATATTGATCAAACAAAAAGGGGCTAACTTATTTAGTCTGCCTCAGTTCGCCTGGTCTTGATCAAAGTTAATAAACTCTGTGCAAGGTTTTTGATCCCTCGGCAAGAAGTTTGTCAAGTTTGGGAGAGTTCATTCACTTGCAGGCCACTCATTTGAATTTTTAGCAGACCGTAAAGAGAGAAATCAACTTGATAACAAGGCAAATAAATGTCGATCTTTGCCCATACGCCAATAAACAGATCAATAAGAAACAGCATCTCTCTAGGAAAATGAATGTCGTAAACTTTGTCAATTATGGTTGCGATTCGCTGTAAACATACCAATTTACCATAATTCTAATGGACAATTCCAATTACATGAAGCCCTTTTTGGTTGTAACTTTGCATGAATCAAATATCTGTTGAGATTAAAAATTTGCTTTCGTTCCGATTCAGAACACTTTCCGTAAGTTAGGTAAATTTATCTGAGGTGCTATATATGTGACCAGTATATTTAAAAGAAAAAGTAGATAATAGTTTTTATTCTATTTAGTTCAGTCGGGGTATGTAATTTAACACACTTCCATTATTCAGCAAAAATCGAAAATAAACAAAATAGCTTAATGTTAAGCGCTCAGTAATCATGAGGATATAAGCGGTATAACCACTCATTTTTCATCAAAATAGCCTCCGTTTCAAATCTTCGTGCATAAAACATGTGATTTGTCCTATAATAAATAAAATACAAGATTTCATTTTTTTACTTCTCCCAACATCCTTCAAAAGCAATATCATACTTTAATACAAAGACTAACTCAAACTACTTATCAGCCTTTTGATTAAACATCCAAATGCACAAAACATTGTTCCATGTGATTAGAAAATTGGTAAATGCCAACTTCATGAATTGCTGTATGGTCTAGACAAGATCTAACCAGCTTTCTAGGACTATGAAAGTTAGTAAGGCCACGTTCATTCCCTTATGAGGTCAAGGTAAAGGCGTGTGCTGACCCGCATTTAGCGCACATGTCTTGAGGACGTGACCATGGCAGGGTGGATGCAAATCGATTGTCCAACTAGGACACATCAGGTGAGCCAATGAGGTTTAAAACATCGGACGAATCAGTGAAGAGGGTTATGAGGTTAACCGGTGAAACGTAAATATTACTGAAAATCATGCAAGTAAACTCTCTTTTGATCATTTAACCACTGTAGTGCGCGTTGGTTGAGAGCTGTGAAAATTCCGAATTCAGGAGTAATTCCTACCCAGTGCTGTTCATTCCTAACATCACCGGGTAGTTATTACGCCTCAATGTAAGGAAAAAGACAACACATTTCCTACTTCCACTTATACTCATATTTTTTAATTTCTTTCCTTTTGATTCCAGCTGAAAGTGGGTGACAAATATTAATCCCAATTGATTTCAGATATTGGAAACAAGGCGTCAGAGGATTTTGTATTGGAATAGTGAATTGTTTTTTTTTGATTTAGAGCAACGTCACTATGACAAATCTCAACGCCTTCGAATGGCTTATTTTGATTGTCCCGTATTCAAAACGGTCAAATACGCTGTTGTGTCTATCTATATGCGAGAAAATATGAAAATGAGTATAAGAAATGTTGATCAAATTGAACCTCCCTTTGAGATTGGGAAATGAACTATTTTGACTACGCTCGTTCATTTATCATTACTGTTACTACTGAAGAATTAAAAGTAGAAACGTTGTTACCAGTACTGAAGGGCGCATGTCAGTGTGTAGACCAACATGTAAACCAATATGACGAGGTAAACTTATTTCAGGGTATCTATTGAGTCGAGCTTCTTAGTCCACCTTTTGGTCCTTCATTCATTTTACAAACTTTGCGTTTTCCATTAATTGACATGGTTTTCTCGATATATTGCTTCCTTTATCGTAATGTTTACCTTTTTGTATAAATCGATAATAACTGCAAAACGATTAGTGATTATCGATATTATTGGTTTTAACATTTGAAATTATAATTAAATTTATTTTTTATTATAAATATTCATATTTTGTCGGGATTTCGAAGGTCTCAACGCCCACGTTATCTTTGGAACTTGGTTCGGCCTTAGTCGATTGGGGATAATATTGTCAATTTGTATAACTCGACCGATTTGATCGAACTTCACTCCCCTTCTAAGCTGACTTGCCCAAAGAGCCTTAAAGTGAAAAAAGGAAAATGAGGGAGGAGGGGGGAATGGGGCAAAACTAAAGCGATTCCTACATTTTTCGGTTCTTCGGAGTCTTCCTTTGCATCTGGCTTGAGGGAATTTTTAGACTTTCTTATAATATTACCGGATAGCACTTTTTTCTTCGGTTGCTCTTCCAACATTACTAAAAGAAAGTTTTTCATAAATTAAAAACAAAATGACCAACATTTATTCTCCTGTCTTCCAGCTTTGCCAAAATCTTCTAGAGGTGATTCACTTAAGATGGTTTGAAGAAGTAGGTAAATTATTTATTTATTTACAGATCTTACTGTGCAAACTCTGTTGTTTCAATGAAGAGATGTTGTATTGAAAACTGGGAATAACTTGAAGAGTCCGAATTGTCATCTTGTGACAATCTTGCCGTCTCTAATCTGACAAAAATTTATTAAAACATCTTCAAAATTTCTAAACAAAAGCGTGGCATGCTACTCGCAGTTTCACTTATATGCCAGCATTTCTTTGAATTCTTATACTACATCAATATTTATTCAGCGTTAAGTATTTGATAAGGAAATACTCAAAGGTCTTAGATCGTTTCAGTGCTAAGTTTCACTGGTGGTAGAAAACTGGATTTTGTCGAGTGCTTTATTCACTAGACTAAGAGAAACTAGAAATGAGATGAGGATGATCATGAAAAATTTTAAGACAAGCTGATGCCTGGATAACTGGTTTTACGAAATGTGTCTTCTTAATACGCTATTTTGGATAGGCTTCTCAGTATGTGTTGAAATTTATATTTTCCAATAAAAAGCTTGACTTACTCATACATGCTAATCGCATATTCAATCACCTCATCAACAATTTCACGGCTAGTACTTTCAAGGCATACACTGTCTACTTCAGGCTCACAAACAGGGTTAAATTGGGTTATCTGTTCCTTTGCTTTCATTTCATTGAAATAAGATGGTAAATTCAGAATGATTGAGCTTGAAATATCATTAATGCATTTTTCAAAAGCATAAGAGATGCTGTGTTTAGTAGCCCACTTAGACAAAATGATAGTTTCCGTATTATGAAGTAGTTGAGAAATAATCTCATCAACAAATTCTTCGCGTTCCTCACTTTCATAGAAAAATTGTCTGCTTATATGCGTTAAATAACCAACAAATTTAACCTCAAATGGTGCATCAGCAAAACAAGAATTTTTCAAACTGTCTTTTAATGCACAATGTGACTGCATAATTTGGTCGCCAAATAGTAACGATGGAAACGACCAATAGAAAATCGCGCTCTCCATAAGTAAACAAAAATGTAGTGAATTGTAAGCTGATTATTTGCCTCTCGCGCTGAATATATTCTGAAAGATGCTATTTACCTATCCAAGAAGTGTAAACCACATTACAATGAAAGGGTGCTACCTATTCATGCAACCCTCAAATTTACTTAAATAAACTTGGAAATCTGTTTCATTTACGCCACAACTGAGCTATGATTTTGCCTCAAATGACCAACTTTCCATGAGATCACCTGTTACTTGATATCCGGGAGGTATATATTTGGAGCTGAATTATGATAGTTATTTATTTATATCCAATGGCAGGGGTTTTGATATTTATCATTAACCCTTTAGCTGACTTCGGGCTTCACAAAGGGAGCGGCATCAAAGTGAGAAAAAGTCAAGAAGGGGAACAGAAGAGTGATTCAGAGATTTAAATGGACAGGCCTAAAGGTAGAGAAAAAGGTAAGCTGAGGTGAGTACTGTGGAAGCGGTCGTATTTGGCATATAGTGGGATCATGGTGGCTTAAAGGCAGAAGTCAACTGTCAGTTTATAGATTTTTTTACCGTATTGGAGAAGTCAACTACCAGTTAATAGACTTTGCCGTATGAATATACGTTGCCCAGGGTGCACCACGTGGAGGTAAGTCTATTGAAAAACGAATGCCGAGTGATAGAATTTTTGCCGTAAGAAAGTACGTTGCCCAGGGTGCACCACGTGGAGGTAAGTCTATCGTAGTCAACTGTCAGTTTATAGATTTTTTTACCGTATTAGTATACGTTGCCCAGGATGCACCACGTGGAGGTAAGTCTATCGCACGAATTATGGTATAAGTTACAAACGATATCACTTCATTCCACGTATCAGCTACCCAAGGACAGAGAGAAACAAAGTATAATCAACATACAAATGCTCTTAAATATTAATTAATAAAATTGGTATCCGATCTACCAAATTTCATATGATTTGTCCAACATTAGTTTCCAAGTAGGGGTGTGCGATAGACTTACCTCCACGTGGTGCACCCTGGGCAACGTATATTCATACGACAAAGAAGTCTATTGACTGGTAGTTGACTTCTCACTTCAATTTACCATCACTCCACTCTATGCCATATTCGACTATTTCTACAGTACTCACCTCACCTTTGTTCTACCTTTGTGTTTGTCACTTATATCTTTGAAACACTCTTCTGTTCCCCCCCCCCCACTCTCGACTTTTTTCAATTTGATATTCCTTCTCCTCTGTGAATCTTGAAGTCAACTAAAGGGCTAATGATAACCATCAAGACGCCTGCCATTTGAAATAAATAAATAGTTTCCAAGTCTGATAATTTTGATGTGCTAATAAAGAATAAGAAAAGCGTGTGTTCCGTTAAAATGAATAAAGAACAAGATGTATTAGAAAGCAATAAACTGTGGAAGTTCGGACAAACACATGTCAGGTGACAGAAGACGGCAGAAGTCCGAGAAATTGAAAAGTTTGAGCTCGAGGAAAAGCGAAATTTATTGGACATCATCGACCAAAAGCCACTTTGTTAAGCTGAGCTAGACGGAGAGAATACGAGAAATCAGCACCTTCTCTAACTAAGACGTGGAAATAATTTTTCAACAACGTTGAATTTGTGTTGTTCAATTATATCAAACTTACAGTCACAGCATATCTACAAACACTTTAAATAATGCACGATTACCAATGTAGTTAACCTTATCTAACAATACAAACTACAATGAAAGATACCATTGACAAAGGGGAATCCGATGTACGATTAAAAGAAATCGATCTAGTACTGTGAATTATAAAATGGCCTTTATATTTTTTTAAGATAGGGGAAATCAGACATCTCTTCAAATTATGGGTCAACTATCGACGCACAAATAGCAATACTAAACCGGATAAATGTTTCATGCTAAGTGAGTGAAACGCAACGTTCCCTCTTGGGAGCATAAGTTCGTCTATCTGTGCAAGAGGGTGACGTAGTTTCAATTTCATGTCCATGTTTTCAATAAGGGTGACGAGGAAACTTTCATTATTTAGCGCAAGAGTTTATGAGTGATCAACTTATTCGATAAGAGTCGGCTGCACCAAAATAGTCAATCCCACTTTCATTCTTTAAAAGTAACCAATTGTATCGGGTAGGTTGACGGAATACTGGAGCCACCCAGGTTATTTGTTTAAATAATATCATCAGAACGGTTAATTATACCGATGCGTTTTGAACCCGTGGCCAAATAAAGCCACACGTTCTATATATTACTTACGGTGCCTCACTATAAGTTAAAATGGAGAAATGGTACATTGAGTTCCATAGAACTGAGAAATACCCCGAATTACTACTTCTAACTTCCTCTCGATTGCTGAATGTAAACTTAATATAACGTATTAACACGCGCCAACATCCACCTTCTACAACTCAATAAACAAACTTTACGTTTCAACAATTTTTAATGAAAGCAGAAACGGGGACACACTCCTGACTCCCCAAGACAATTACATACATAAATTAAAACGTAGAATATTCCCGTTTGAGTACAGAAAAAACTCAAAACTAAACACGAAGATTCTGACAAAGGAATCATATAAACAAATTTACAATCACAATGAAATAAATTTAAAAAAGGGTTAGATTGAATAATACTATTGAAGAGATTCGTCGACACGTTTGGCAAGTTGCATAAAAGTGACCGCAGTTATGGAGTCAGGATGAGAGAGAACTACAGGAATGCCCTTTTCATTTCCACTAGAAATACTAGGTTCGAGAGGGATTTGACAAAGCAGGGGCAACTTGTACTCATCTGCTAATTTGGCTGAACCGCTCAGTTCAGTAGAACCCGCACCACTCCAAAGGTTTGATGCAGATTTACAGCTGGGACAGACAAAATGAGCCATGTTTTCGACGATGCCGAACAAAGGAACCTTAAACCAAGTAAATTAATATTACTAACGAAAATCCAACTTATTAAGGTATAAGAAATATCGAATAATTACGTTGAGCTTTAAAAGCATCTCAATGCCACGTTGAGTGTCGGATAGAGCAAGGGGGTGTGATGTAGTGACGATAAGAGATCCCTTAATCGGTACATTTTGAACAAGGGAAAGATGTACATCCCCCGTTCCTGGTGGTGTATCGATTACTAAGGTATTCAAGGACCCCCAAGTTACCTAGAGAAAGCTGATAATAAACTATGTTAAAAACCTGTCGAAGTAAGGTTTGCACAGCCTGCATGACCATCAATCCTCGCCACACAACTGCTGATTGTTTACTAATAAGCGATCCCATGGACATGCATTTAATCCCGTAGTTTTGCAGAGGAACAATGCGATTTTTATCGTCTGTATCTGGTTGGATACCACTGACCCCCATCAAATGTGGGATTGACGGGCCGAACACATCGGAATCCAAAAGTCCAATTTGCTTGGACGAATTTAATTTACTCATTGCGATAGCCAAATTTACTGCAACGGTGGATTTGCCTATAGAACTTTATAGCGGGCTGTAATGCTTACAAACCAACACCACCCTTAGCAGATGAAACCATAATGATATTGCCAACGTTTTCTATTGGTTTTTGTTTTGGAAGACCTTTGGCCAAAACCTTTTTGGCGTGTTCGGGTGAAACGGTAGAAAACACGCGGCGAAACATATGGTACTACTCAGTGAGGCTACTTGGAACACAAATTGACCTTGATTCTAAATATAAAAGATGCAAAATAATGTCACACTAACAAATTATTTAAAATAAATGCATAAACTGAGTGAAAATAATATTAAGACTATTTTTGTTAATGAATTATTAAAATGACCCACAGTCACATGTGCAACAAGGCTTCTTATTGGGCGCTTGCCGAAATTGTTACCTGAATTGCCTAGTCGTTAAAATTTTAGTTTACATTGTCTTGTTTTTGTTAAGGTTATGCAAATATGCTGAGTAGATCTTGTTCTGGACTGTACAGTCGGTAAGTCCACTCGAATATTCCTAATAAGTATTTAGGGTGTATATTTTTCAGTTTGTATTACGTAATTTTTCGGAGAAATCTGTACGTATTGACGCATCTGAAGTTAATACATTTAATAATTTGTCCAAAAGATGGTGGGACAAAAATGGTGAATTCAAAGTTTTACATGCCATGAACCCCCTTCGTTTGGAAATGGTCAACAATTTGTTCAAAGACGAATCACCTAAACCCTGGTATCCTCTTTATGGCAAGCATATTATGGACATTGGTTGTGGTGGTGGAATTCTTTCTGAGGTATTTTTATTCAAAATCCTTACTTATTTAGGTCTTCTAGCCATTAGGACGCCTTGGGGCCAAAGTTATTGGAATAGATCTTCTTTTAGAAGGAATTGAAGCTGCAAAGGAGCATCTTCGCATGGCCAATCCTGATATTTGGGAAAGTGTGCCTTTTGGTCCTCCAGAATATCAATGTATCAGTTCCACAGAAGCTGCTGAAAAGTATCCTGGCTTCTTCGATGCCATCATTGCTTCCGAGGTTTTGGAACATGTCTCGGATTGGGAACATCTTGTTAGTGATGTCTCCAAGTGTCTGAAAGTAAGATTGCTTTTGTATTTTAATGCTTATCGACTGTAGCCTGGTGGCCATTTCATAGCAACTACTGTGAATAGGACATTTTTGTCGTACTGGCTTGGTATTATTGTTGCTGAACAAGTTATTAACATTGTTCCCAGAGGAATGCACACTTGGGATAAATTTATTGAACCCTCTGAATTGAGCATGGCTGCTATCAGACGTAGGTTTATTTTATTACTTGGAAACGTTTAAAATTTTTTTCTTATCGTAATTATTCTTTACACAATGTATTGTTCTTCACTTTTGAGGTGTTATATTGTTTCCCTTAATATCAAAACTTCGATTTCATTCCTGACACATGTGGTTGCGTTATATGTGAGATTTTTCAATCATTAAGTATTATACGCTTAGGAGGAACGAATTTTAAATCTACTGGGATTCGGTTATTGACTGTACTATCTAATCAATCAATTCTGTTGTATTATGGCATCAGTGACTGATTTTCAATTTGCCCTACTATTTCCACGCCGAGCTGCTTTCAACTCAAAATGTGCATATCATCGTTGAAGTGCAATCAGCCCTCCTAGTTGTACTGATTGCACAGTGGTTAATGCGGGCCAATAGAATTGAACTAGATGAGAGTGGTAGAACGGTGGATACAAAATATCTTCACTACTTTGTACGACGTGCTGCAGCGATTAGCGTACCTTCTGTGAAGTCAGAAGCTCGTCGATTTGTGTACGCCTTTGCAGATGGAGTGGGAGAAAATGGTTAACATTTCTAGTAAAGCAGCTGGCAGTATTTGTCTTCCTTGCCCAGGAAGGTCCTACCTTAGTTACATGTTGCCAAGAATACCATTTTCAATTGATATGAGAGTTATCATTACAATGTCTCACGATTTAATGTCTTCAACTTAGAACTCGGAGATCGGCAGACATCCATTGCTGGTTTTCAGTCTAACTTTTAAAATAAATTTCTTATCCCGGTCTTTGCAAGTACAATTGTCACCATTTTCTTCACTTTACAGTGCCCACACCTAGACTTCATTTCACTTCTCTTTCGCATTATTGGTAACTTAGTTCTATAGGTTGTTTAATATCATTGTATTTTATTAATTATCCATTGTCGGAGTCCATCTTTCTTCACTAGACAATTCAGTAGACTGACCAGTCTCAAGACTTCACTTATTTAATTATTATTGTGAGTTGGCGAGCATATATCTATGCCATTTTTATCTTTTGTAGATAACCTTCAACCTCGAAAAGTGCTTGGTATGACTTATTGCCCACTTTCAAATGAGTGGAGCTGGATTGGTTCACAGGCCATTAATTACGCCTTTCATGCCGTCAGGGTCGATTCAGGAAACTCTTAACCCCGCCCCCCCTCCCCCCGCCTCCTATTATAATCTGATTCTTGTGTAAATACTTTAGATATTTAATAAATACTTATCTCCATTTGACGAGTTCTCTCATGCTTCCGCATTTTCGTTGCCAATTGGAAATTCCATCTTTGTATTACTACGTGTAAAATTAAGTATCTAAATTCTGAAAACATTAGAGGTATCTTGTCTCCATTTGTTAGCGAATATAATCAGGTTCCTTTTTATTCCCGTTTTTAGCATCTTAACCAATTTTGTCCGAGGGAAGGAATTCCTCTATTGTTGGCAGCCATTTCAAACTTTAGCAGCTGAGTTAGTTTTATCGCGATGAGCCATTTTATTCTCTCGGAAAGCTTAATTTCAAACGTCTAATTTCAGTGGGCACGTTCATGACAATACAATTTGCAGGGTACACTGAAGAACAATGATTTCTGAGTCTTAGTTGAGTGAATATACAAACTCGAATTGGAAATTGAATTTTAATCCAAAAGTTTGAGAATTCAAGCTGTCAATGTGTTCGAAATGGGTTCGTATGATGATGTCAAAGACATCCGGCGTTTTCAATCATTCCAGTCACTGAATATGCATCTACTCTACTTATTATTAGCTAATTTCAAAAGTAGAATGCTCTATGTGGGTCTCAAATAGCGTTTCTTAGTCAAGTTCTCTAGAAATCGCTGTTTTTCACAACGAAGTGTTGTCGGGGTGACTTTTATAGCACAACAACGCCCTAATGATCGACTCTATTCGATAGACCTGGTGTTGTTTAACGTTTTTTACTCCGTTCTCTGCAAGCCACATTTTGAATTTTTTATTTACCCCTACACTTTTTCTGCGCTCCAATTTCTGATAGTAATCTATTCCTCCAGCTTTGTGCCTTTGTTTCATGACTCAACTGAGAAATTCCAAACAAATATTACTTCGTTTTACGTGGCGTGTCGTATGCAAAGCAGTGACCCTTTTACTAATTTCTATAATGCTTTTCATCTAGATGTCAATTACAATGTCATTTGCAAATATTCCTGATAAAGCAGCCAATGTTCTCTTGGATGGAATTAAAGGGGAGAATCGTAAGTCCGCTCTCACCTTTTTACCTATCCCTTGTTCCTTTAGTTAATGACGAAGACCTGTTGAGGTTAGTTGAGTATTAGCACTTATGACTTCTCAACAGAATTCATTCGCTCTTTGGAAAACAGGCCTTTGAAGCCCTCAACTTGCTGGAAGAGGGTGCTGTTGTCAAGATAACATCTCCAAGTGGAAGATTTATTTACAAGGTATTTTAGCAATCTTTTGTGTTTTATGTGTTTATTACTAAGGTGAATCAAAGGGGTGTTAGCTATTACTGCAGCAGAAGTGGTCATTTTTGTGCCTGCATGAAGGGAGAATCCATACAAACATCGCCGTTTGGACGATCCTGGGTGAGTTCCGTTGCTTTAATTATACACCAAAGGCTGGTATTGGTTCCCAACTCCAGTAAACGCTTCTCGCTTCCTACACACTGTGTTCTTGCCACTTTGAACACAAACCAGCCAATTTTGATAACAACTTTGTGGTGGTGACTAGACGCATTTGTCTACAGTTAGTAGGACTTCCAAGAGGGTTACCATAGCTTAGGAAAAATGCTTATTTTGGTAGCATCCACCTCACGTGTACTTAAAGAAACATAAGTATATGTATATATTTCAAATGGAAGGCATCTTTATAGTTATTATTAACCCTTTAGCTGACTTCGGACTTCATAGAGGGTAGGAACATCAATGTGAGAAAAATTCAAGGGGGGGAGGAAACAGAAGAGTGATTCAAAGATGTTAAAGAGACAGACAGACACAAAGGTAGGGTGAGTACTGTGAAGTAGTCGACTATGACACACAGTGGGATCATGGTAGCTAGAAGTCGAATTTGACATACAGTGGGGTGATTGTAGTTTGAAGTCATGTCAAATGCCGGTTAATAGACTTTTTTGCCGTATGAGAATGTAGGACATATAGGGGGGTCATGGTAGTTTGAAGTGAGAAGTCAACTGCCAGTAAATAGACTTTTTTGCCGTATGAGTATACTTTGCCCAGGTTACACCACGTGGAGGTAAGTCTACCTCACACCCCTAAGCTTATAATATAATTTAATTGTGCCATTTACATGGCCTCAAAGTTCCTATTTAATCAACTGACAACTAATGGCCGTTCTTCTGAAGAGTGTTGGCAGCGGGCAGCACGACTCAGCTTTTTACAAGCCTTGAGCGTACTAAAGGCAGGCCTGAATTCTACCAATGTGGAAGCCGAACAGACCAGCGCGTGGCCATTGAATCGATCAGGGTACAACGTGATCGCTCCTGGTGTGAAAAAATGACCGAATTCTTAAAACTATTTGCAATCTTTCCACCTTCAGCTTCTTATTTTTGCTTTTAATACTTCTTGTAGACTTTGTGTCCTTTTGTATTTGCTTGAAATACCCGTGTAAATGGAGTATTCGAGCCACCCGTTCTACGTTACTAAAACGCTGTATGTGGGCAATGTGTTTCTAACTTAGCCTGGTCCGCTTCGCTGTAGGAAGCTCATAGTTCTGTTGTTAAAACGCTTTTTTTATTAAATAATCCCGTTTATTTTACAAACAATTTTTTCGCATTCCTTGTTCTTTATGCTGTTGCATCGAAGCGTGATATTGATGATTACCAATTTCATACAATTAGCTCTAAGATCAGTTCAAATTTGTTCCAGTATTTGGATTGAATGAAGAGATTTTAGGCTTAAATATTAAATTTGTTGGGTTGGAAGGAAATCGAAATGGCAGGATCTTCAGTCTGAAGGTCCGGTTTCCTCCGAATCCTAATATTTGGTTGATGTATCTTTGCTATTAAGATTCATTTTTTGTTCCCGCTTGTTTAATTTAACTTTAATATGGTCTTAATTGCAAGTAATCATTGTTCTTATGGAAGGTTTCTGTTATTTTAGTGCCCCCATTTGCTAGCCGTGGCACTCTCGGATGCTATAAGCAAGACTCAGACGAAAACAATATCTGATCAAGCAATAACCCATGCCGTTGAAATGCTCTTTAAAATATCCTAACATCTCCTTGTACACTTTATAATTATAAAATATCAGATTTTGCTTCTTGTAAACTTCCGTTGTCTTTCCAAGTAATTAAATTTATAAAATATTGCTATGTTCTTTGAAGCATTTACAGGAAATTGGTAGTTGTATAAAGTTTAAGGCGCTCTAGCTCCATAGTAAAATCATTTTAGGAGTTTGAACAATCTAGGCTGGATAGAAATAATCTTTTTAAGGCAAACAGGCGGTGACGGCCTTTTTAGAGAGAATAGGCCAAGAGTTAGGTTGGTTTCTCGAGAATACAATGACAGGAAAAGAAGAAAAGTGTGGGTGAAGTGGAGTTAAGATGAAGGAGGAAAATGTCAATACTGAGGAGGACAATCCTACCTGTGGCGAACGGGTGATAAAGCAGTTAGGAAAAGGAAATGAGTGTTAGAGAAACTGAGAGGACATCGGAGAACACTTTTTCAATGGATTGAAGAAAATATCAATCTAATTAAGCTATACTGATGAATAAGTCAATGAAACCGTTTAAAAGATACTGAAAGCCCCATGTCGTGGAGACGATAACACCGATTTGAAGAAGGCAGTGTCAAAGTAGAGGCAAACAGTTTTTTAAATTTCACAATCTGATAAGCCCATCATGAATAATTAACTCGGCATTTCAATTGATTAAAGTCATTCTAGAAATATGAGATTGATTAGGTTAAGTTTTATTTTCCACATGCTGGGGTGCGTGATAGACTTACCTCCACGTGGTGCACCCTGGGCAACGATACTCATACGGCGAAAAAGTCTATTACCTGGCAGTTGACTTCAAACTACCATGACCCCACTGTATGTCATATTCGACCTCTTTCACAGTACTCATCCCACCTTTTTTCCACCTTATCTACCTTCGTCTTTGATGCACTCTTCTGTCCTCCCCCCTCTTGAATTTTTTACACTTTGATGTTCCTTCCCCTCTGTGAAGACTGAAGTCAACTAAAGGACTAATGATAACAATCAAAACGTCTGTCATTTGATATAATAATAATAATTTTCCACATGCTAAATTTACACTTTGCCGCCTACTTAATCCCAGTTACTTTATTTCAGTTTTGGCATCTTCCAATGACGATGGTACGGAAACTTCGGCTTTACTGCCCATTTGCAAATTCAAGCTTATGTCAAAGCTGTAAGATTGTAGACATTTGACTCAGCATTTTTTAAACACATGGGCTAGTTTAGAATGTGGCTTGCTTACGGTAAACAAACTCAATATCGATTTTCGTTAGGTAACCCGCACAAATATATCAAGACTTAGGATAGGATGATTAGTTATTACTCGCCCAATCAGAAATAAGTTGGGTAAATTTTTGGCCAAAACCATGAATTGCAATCACTTTTCAACGTTTTCATGGTCGAAAAAGACGTTGAGAATAACTCAGGAATTTTGGGCGCTGAAATATAATTAAGAATATGCAGTGAGTTATGCTAGGCTACATAATCTCTTATATTCAATCTTCTATTTAATGCTGCTTATCTACAGTTAAAATACTTCTCTAATCACTTACTATAAAGTATAATTCAATTACACGTTGTTGAGGTATGATTCCAATTCCAACAGAGGAATTAAATTCAAAGCTTTTCTCAGAAGTGTTGAATTTTATTGGTCATTTATAGGAAAGAGCACTAATGAAATCAATGATCGATTAACCATCAGTTATTTTTATATTTCAGGATAGAGAACTTAAGTTATGACTCGGGTATCTCAGGGTGTATTGATTTTTCTGTGGAGAACCAAATGCTTTCTTCAACCGAAATGAGTTCAAGTATTGATACTTCAATGGATTCGTCACTTAAAAGCCAAACCCTCTCCTCAATAAAACGTGATGAATGCGCGTTTGCAGCAACGGCATTACTTGAATCCTCAGAGGATATGCAGTCTTCGTACATCCAGGCCTTGAATGATCCAATTGATATAAGTGGTTACCAAGACGAAATCGAACGGGGGGATGATTTGCAATTCCTTCCATCAGATGATGCCTACCATTTGCCGGTTAATGCCTCAAATGAAACCACTTCAGTTATAAATCTGACTACGAATGGTTCTGCAAGTATTTCCTCTCATACCCAATCGCACATAACAGATTATTCTTCCCTTAATACAAATCAGTCATATTCTTACCAATCTATGCAGTTCTCGAATGTTCCACCATCGACAACTCAATATTCAACGCTTGGCCAGGTTTTGACTGGTAATACCGAGCGTAGTAATGCCTACCCAAATTTGCTCAACTCTTTCCTACGATGCAACAATGGTTCAAATTCCTCGACATCTACATCATATGCATCAACACCAATTACTTCAGGAAGTTTCTATGATTCGAAAAATACACGTAACTCGAAGTTTCAGCGTGTTACCAAAAAAGTAGATGTCAAACAGGCCAAGCCACGGGGAGATGGAAGCAAACTTCTCAGTACAAGGGCCACTTATGTACTAGAAGGCTGGTATGAAGCAAATACAGAATGGCCTTACCCAACAAAATCTGAAAAACAAGTTATGGCTTCTGCTGGAGGAATCACAGTCGAACAGGTACTATTTTTGCCTTAACTCGATATCCCTTCTTTTAACATTTTATTCACATATTTTACAAATTTCACTCATATTTTAAAATCAATAACTATTCATAAGTTCTAAGCTTCTATTGTCTTATGCACCAGGTGAATTCATGGTTCGCCAATCGTCGCAACAGAAGTCAAAATACAAGACCGAAGAAGAATATGGTGAAGCTGATTCAATCTATAACGTTATTGTGTGAAGAATACCAGGAAGCCTCACACGGCGTCATTTCTGCCTTAGAAATGAAGGGCAGAATCCTAGCCCTTATAAATTTCCATTTGCAACGGAAGCAATGATCCCTCCATGTCTTTCATGAGCAAGTGCCATACTACCCACTCAGCCTTTCATCCCAGCAATGTGTGGTTGCTGTTGACCCGATTGAAAGAACCAAACTTTGTGAAGTAAATAAAGATTAGACCTGTTCTAGGCACTATAATGAAATTACATTTTTCACTTCCTCGGGTCTTGGCGAAATTGTGTTTCCAATTCCATACTTCTACAAAATAGCGTGGAAATTTGTCACGCGTTGTAAACATGTGATAGCTTAGTCTGAGTTGTGTTCAAGTAGTAAGGCGCTGAACACAAGGCAGTGCATTTTTTGGAAAAAAGGTGTGTTGTAAAGGGAGTTTATTGCTTAAAAATTAAAGTGTCTTTTAAAAATCCCAACTTTATTCATTGGCAGAATTTTTTACAATTCATATTTTTTGGAAAATTGGAACGTGCTTGAAAAGCTATTCTGACGAAAAATCGATTTACATCGATCAACCTACCACGTGTTTTCGAGGGCCTAGAAATTTAAGGGAATGCGGAAAGACATATGAGAGAAATCGATAATGCCCTCTAATTTATTGATGAAATTGATGTTCCAGGTTTTGAAATCAAGTGAATTAATTTGAGGTAAAATTAAAACTTTTAATTTCAAATTCAGAAAACGTTGGGAATGTTCTTTGAGACAAATGGAAGATAATGTTGCTAGCTTGCATTTGAGATGACCTCAGTTAAAATTCTTTGTTCTGGGTGTGGCTACAATTGCATTCAGAAGACTCCACTAGGAAACTCGATTATTGTCAAATGCAATTCACCGATACTAACAGGACGTGCACTTATGTACCCATTACTTCTAGCTTGACGGGCACTTGGACTAACCGTAACGACATCATTGTGTTATTGTAGGCGAGTCAATTTTAATCTTCTTTAAAAGTTTAGAAAACAATGTGAATTCCAATGATTTACGTATCTTATTTCATTGAAATGCTGGTTAATATAAGGCAAATTTAATTCAATAATATTGCAAATCAAAATATACCTGACCGGGTTTTAAGTTTTCCCTTTTATTCTGTTATGATTGATATTTCCATTTGGGCTTTATGTTTTGACTTTTTCTTCATACCAATTGCGTAAAGATAAGGCTTACACTGACATGTCAATCTACGTGCCTGAGTTTTAAGAGTAGAAGTTTCATCATTGTTTTTAAACGGATCAAGGTAGTGGGTCAAGGGTGCCCAAACATTATATCACCAACCGCACAGACTGGAATGGACGAAGAAAAGACGGCTAGATTGTCTGGACCATCATATACTATGTCAAAGATTCTCATAACTTTAATAAATCTCCAGTTTAAATTTTGAGGAGTTACTTTTAACTATTCCTCCCATCATCCCACAGAGTAATCTTTTTTCTTTAACTTCAAATGCATTTCGAATAATCAGCGTACCATTTGTCATGAAGATATTTATAGTGAACGTATGATTTGCATCAATTTGCAAGATCAGTGTTTTTTCATGATAGATTGAATGTGTTTTCAATAATAATATTAAATACTGTGTAAGTTAATTTGAAATCTCTGCATTTCGAAGGGGAATTATAATTGCTTCGGGAATTCAAACCTGCCTTTCAAGCACCATCAATTTGCTCAAAAGTACAGTAGAACTACAGCGGTTTGAAAGCTTTCACTGCATCTTAAAGCTGGAGCACTTTTGGAGCATAAGGCACCCAGTTTCTTGATGTTTTAAAGTCGAAATAAAAGTATAACGAAGTAAGACTCCTAGATGCATTAGTATTGCTTTCTTTAGCTTACTATTTTGTGCCTGACTTTCTGGCAATCGATTTTAGTTGGACCTAGAAATTAAAAACTAGAAATTTTTTGTATTTGCCATGAATATCACTAATAACTAAGAGAGCAGTAGATACCGATGGAGCTGAGGTTTGTTTATATCCACACGTGTGAATAGACAAGAAACTTGAGAGTGTGCTACTTGAATAAAGTGTCGGGAAAAAGAAGTGGTTTGATATGAAAGATACGAATTTTAATTAATTTAATCATGAGAATAGCAGTGTGAATATTAGCCACTATCTAGTAACCACGTCAACTAAGATTTCTCGATTATGCTATTAGGATTGATTTCTATGTTCTTTTAAGTATACTGGCCTGGATATTTTATCAGATATTTGATCTGGGGTAGATATTGCTCAAATCTGCCTTATGCTAATGAAAGCGGAGAATCGATTTAAATTAGCATCGACGTTTAAGAGGAAATATTTGCCTCCTTGAAAGTGTGAAATCTGCAGTACTCAACAGTGCTTCTAACAATCCACTCTGTACTGAACAGACAGCGCTTGATTACGAACTGGTCCACTCTGCGTATATCAGGAATCTTCCATATACTATTCTTATTATTATTAAGAAATCATTTAAATTTAAAAATAAACAATTACAATGACTAGGCACGGAGTGCGCGGTAGACTTAACTCCACGTGCTGCATTGCGGCTGGAGATTTCAAAGAACTTAGTTTTAATTGATTTTGCTTTGAATGTGATTGGATGATATTTACTTACATGGTTGAACTAACAACTCAGTTCAGAAACTTACATATAACCCGAAAAAAATATACTACTCCTAAATAGAACAAGTTTAAGAACTGTCAATTTTGGTGTTGGGGACAGCCACGTTGTAAAGGGCGACATAGCGCTATGCAAATTACTTATGTGCTATTCAGACCTGTCATTAGATAGAACACGTATTGCTCGGATCACAGAGCATTCTGCTCATAGGGACACACTCGGAGGTGAACCACCAAGCTCAATTCTCCGTGTATCAAAGGGGTATGCCCAGCGATCAAATACTGAGAGCCTGGTTACTGCAGATGTACACCCAGTTACCAAGTAACTAAAATGATTTTCCATCATGCTCGCAAGTCATGTTATTTGAGAACTTGTACTGCGTGCTCCAAACTTTCGGATCAAAATAATACGGCCTCTCTCCAGAATGCATTTGAATTTCTGGACAGCGGCAGGTTAGCAACATGGTCTGGAACGACAGGTGGTATTAAATGAAATGCCCCCGCCCCTCCTCCTAATGATTCGATTAAATTAAGATCTATGTTGCCGTCAACTTATAGTAGTACCATTTTTTGAGAAGAAAGTAAACTTATTCATTAATAAGACATTACACAAATAAGATTATATATAAATTATGTACAATGGTGATTAAACAATAGGCGGAATTAAGAGGCAATTGTTATTGCCGGGGTTTCAAAGGTGTTATGACGTAGCGACCGAGTCTAAGTTGTTGCAAATTGATTCGTACAATACCATTGTCAGACGTTCGCTTGATTTGAATGTCTTGAACTCCTACTCCAGACACTGTGCCGTTACATCCGTGCGATTCTAAGCACACTTGAGAGCCAACTCGATAACTACAACGAAAATTGCAAATAACAAATATTCATATTCATTTCTCAAAAGCGACCCTTTTTGATTAAAAGCATTTACTGAAATTTATGCAACCCATCACCGATTTAGCAACAATCCGAAAACAAAATTTCCAAAACATCCTGACACCCCTCTCCTCCCCCCCCCCCCCCCACACGGCCTTTCGATAACACAACGAAGCTTATCATTTAAAAAGCCTCCAGTTAATCAACTTCAGTTGCTTCCACAATTAAAACTACAAAAATGCATCAATTATATATTTTTTAATAAACCAAACTCTCAGTGGAGGTCAATATTAACTACTTTCTGACAAAAAGTGAAATGAATATGATTAACTACACACTATCGTTTCGTTTCTATCTTAATATCTGTAGATAACTCGATTTAATATGATCCAACCCTGACAAAAGCGTCTCTTCTCCGCCTTTTTTGACCATAGCTCTGAATGTGCTACAAGTTGAAGCCAAATGATTTTTATAAATTTAAGCAGTCCGTAGCTGGGGTAATGCCATCTTTGGTGAAAACATTTCACGCAAGAAACTGGTAAACCCGTGATCGATTTGAAAATTCTAGGGCACAATGCCAATTATCAAAGGCAAAATAAAGCACTTCAAAAATGCAAGTACCCAAAGTGATGCCTGTGTAAATTAGGCCAGAACTGTAGATAATAAGAGCTGAATCAAATGAAATGATTAACACTATTAGACTTTAAAAGAACTTTCGTGCCAATCAACCACAATTAAAAAAACGATAAAAGGATATAGCACCCTAAATAAAATCTTACAGAAAGTTTAAAAGACTTGGTCCAAATAAAAATGCTAAGAAGTATAACTTCTTAAATCAATTTACGGGTATTACGTTATGGAGGGAGGATTACTTACGACTAAATTTGTACAACAGGGAAGTATGCTTTCAGGCAGATAATATTAATTTTCGTTTATAACACCACAATGGTTTACCTTTGCTGAGTATGGATCTTCTATGCCGAAGTACTTTTTGAAGATCAAATTCTGCTGCTAATATAAACGCGTCAACTGGAGTTCACTCGGACAAGAGAGAGGTAAGACAACGCCATAAACATAAAACATTTTATTAGCCAAAGAACGGTATTAATGGGAATAAAAAGGTATGAATAAATGCATGTTGGGATATAACAATGTATATACGAGATTTTTAGACAGCACGTGAGAATTGACTAACACCATAAGAGAAAACAAATAATGCAACTGGGTTTTATTTGATCGGACTCCCAACAAAGGGTAAATAGAATGCATGTCGAGAGGGAAATCCTCCAACACAACTTCATTCAAACAGCAAATCCCTAACCTAGAAAAGTGTATCTTTAAACTATTAAATCAAATATATTAGCTAATAAATAGGCTATTTACACTCGGGCAAAGCAGGGGGCGTTGTAGAGATAAATTTAACTCCGTATTTCTCGTTTTTAAACAACCTTAGGCAAGGGATATAAAACGGGAACCTAGCAGTACCAATAGAAAGCAAGTACCTTCACTAGCAGGTTAACGAAACACAGAGAATGTGTAATCCCAACTCAATTTGATTTCTTCCAAATTAACAAGTAATAAGAGGTTAACCTCAACTTACCAGTTCTGACCAATAAAGAGAGCTCCATCATCAATCCATACACGTGGAGTAGTAGAACTGGTCTCATCTCCATGATGATGCCCATAGTGAGGATGGCCATATCGATCGCCCCGACGATCTCCTCCGCGTCTTCCATGACGATCTCCTTCTTCGCCTCCTAGTCCACGTGTAAGGGGTGGACTTGCAGGTCCATTTCGTGCCGACGATGCTGAACCTTCACAACCATGCTTCCTAGATGTTCCAGTAGTTAAACTTGCCGATGGTTTTCCACAGGCTCTATTGTAAAGTGAGAAGAGACCTTACTTTTGAATAACAGGAAGTACAATGTAAATAAACAAAAGATGAGTATGGTAAACATTCAACAGCTATATATGCTGAGTTATTAACCTTCGAAAAACAAACCAAGCCTGTGGATTCTCAAATGGTTTATCTTCGAATTATTGCTATAGTAGCAACAGATATACCGAACCATAAAAGTAGATAATTACAAATTTCTGCGATGGGCTTCAATTACGATTAATAATGACACCACAAGGATGCATAAAGAAATGGACAACAAAAATATGAAAAAATATGGCTTCCATGTAAAATAATGACTTGCATATAAAAACACAAAGTGAATTATAAAGCTCATTCAAGACTTTACAGTATGGAGAGAGCGGATTTTACATCTAAGGTAAAAACATAAATTTACATATGGAAGTTAACTAGAGAAGAGGTTGCGTGTTAAAAAACTGAATGAGTTTCAAATTCGGTGCAGCTTCAAAGAAACAAAACGTACCTATGAATCAGCGTGAGATCAGAGTAGATGTCATTTTGCGGCAGAAGCATATTAAGCTGAGCTTGCGGCAGAACGCCCTGTGGTTTCTTCCTTTTGGGAGGTGGAATGTTTACAGAACCCATTAAACCTGATACAACGGCTGTAGCAACGGGTGAAGGTTTGGCAGAAGCAAGTAATGACTGAGCTAGAAGAGTACTAGGTCGACCATTTGAATGGGATCCCGAATCTGAATGGCCATTGTTACGCGTAAGGGAAGCTCTAAAGTGATTTAAGAGGCTCTTCCCATCATCCAAATCAACACCCAAACTGCCGAAAAGATTGCCAAAGGAAGTCATAGTTGGTATGACATTTTCTTCACGATTTGTTGGACTAGGAGGTAGTTCATTCTTTGCTTTCTTAGCCTTGACTATCCAATTGGTATTGTAGAGATTTATTTCACCCCAGTAACTCAACTTTGAAGAATTACCGTTGAATCCCACTCCAGTCATATTAGGAGCCATTTCCTGTACCCGACGTCGTAATTTCCTCGTAACCGTGGGTTTCATCTCAAGAACATCGCCTGTAGCTGTTAACTCAATATTTGACTTGTCTTTTTCCAAGTGGCGCTTTAAGTCCTCGCAAAGATTGACAAGATTATCTTGAAGCTTCTTCTTCTCTAACTGAAATTGATGGTATTAAATACAAAATCAACCTACAGTACAATCATGGTCACAAGTGCGAACCTCACGTTCGTATTGACTGTGAATTTCATCTATTTTGTGCTCATGAAGTATTTGGCTACGAAGTTTCTGGTCATCTAACCAGCTTTCTAATTTCTTCGAAGATTTAATAAACTCTAAAGACAACAGTATGATTAAATAAGCGACGTACCTGGATGAGTTCCAGTTTCAATTTGTTTAAGTTGCCCCGCATAGATTTCCAATTTTTGAATGAATTCTCTATACATGCAATGATGTCCGAAATATAATCTTACTGCTCAGAATCTGGAGAATCCTCATTCTCTATGGGCGATGAACTTCGAGCTAAAGAAAAATATCTCTAAGCAACGGAACTTACGATCGTTATTTTCGCGTTCTCGATTAGGAAGTGGGTTATTACGGAAGGGGCGTTTAAAAGACATATTTGGAATGCTTGGCTAAATACTACAGTAAAAGGCGAGATTGTAAGGCTTTAGGGGTATTAATTTTAAGCAAGCATAAACAACTATTGACTTGAAAAAATATCAATTAATTTACAAGCTCACCTACCGAGAAAATTCTGCCAAGAGAAATCGCCGAATTTGTAAAGACCAGAAAACCTTGAAAATAATAAACAAATTGGTCTGTGTGAAGATGCAATGCCGCAAACGGGGAAATATTACAATAATTGGCATATTAAAATTTTAGAATATCTAAATTATTATTATTTAAACTTTATTCTAAATTATAGAATAACTAAATTTCTTGAATAATTACGCTAATCTTATTTGCAACAACAGTTTTATAATTTTACTTCATGGGTTGATTATAAGAATCATTATATCGATGAATTATTTATTGAGCAAACTCATATCGATGTTTAATGATGGGCGGCCATTTGGGTTAAATGCTGAACTTAGGTTTTTCAGATTTTCTCTAAATGGAGCTGAAGCTTGGCTCATCCCATGGGCGCTTATTTGAGTGGGTCGTTATTTGACTCCAAACAACGTTTCATAAAATGGAATTTTCCGTTTAATTGCCCTATGTGTATTTTGGAAAACCCGGGTAATTACGTTATCACGCCATTTTATAACGTTAAAGCCGAAATTGTGCACAAAATACGTGTGTAAAGTGTACAAAATATATCAAGTGAAAAAGTTCTATAATCATGCATGGTCGTAAGGACCAAGCATGATAGCTGACAATTCGTTCCCATGATTTGATGTAAAACAATGCTCCTCGACATCATTTGAAATAGCGACCTAATTGTAAAACTATTTTTTGCCAGAACTAACAGAACTGTCATCAGTATCTGGAAAATATTTTGATTTCATTGTTATTAGATCAGATCTTTAAAAACTTTTCGATAATTTCATTTAAATTTGCAAAATATCTCGTAGTAAATAATTTAAATTTCAGGATTTTGTCTTTGTTCTGCACCTATCCATGGCTGAACAGAATGTTAGAACGCTTCAACAAACCAATGGCGCAAGTGTACTATGTCAGTGTAATGAAGTTATATGTATCTGTCCCTCTAACTGTATAAATGTCTCACTTAGTAGTCCTTTTAAATTTGAATTAGCCACCAGAAAAAATTTACTACAAATATATAATGCATGACAACACCTAATTCCGTGGTTAGTTAAAATTTTCTAATGAATGGAAAATGGAAGTTAAATAGAATGAAAAGCTAAACACTGTTGATTTCATATCAGCCATACAAACTAACTGTAATGGTTATTTTTTATTTTATATTTTATCCCGACATTCAAATATCACGAGTGATGGTAGCAAAATCGGGTCAAAATTTCTTAAAATAACTCTACAAAGAAAATAGCTATTAACGAGTTGTTATATCATGATTGAGGACAGGATTTTAAAAAATAAGTTATTTAAAATACGTAAATTTCGTGATTAATATCAGTGTAATCAAAGAGTAATAGTGAAAGTACTAATTGAGCTAATTTTTATGTATATAGATCTATTAAACTAACTTAACGCAATGTAACAAAATCAGTGAGCAATTTTTTAACATTTTAACTAGCAAAGCCATACATTCGTTTGTTCCACGAATCATTTAGAGAAATCTAAATAAATAAATGTATTTGATATTCAGTAATTCAAATAAGCATAGTAATTGTGGTGTTGATTCGATGTCCTTGGCAATAATTTAAACCATATTCGTTTCTAAATATAATTTTCGCTCTCAAGTTGCATATTATTCAATTTAATGTATTTCCATAACTATTGAATTTCGCAATTTTTATTCCCACATAGTTTATTGCTTTTTAATGAAGTTAACTACAGCTTTGCTATAATAAGAAATGACTGCAGATATCGACAGCACTTTGAATTCCGAAAGTATTCCAATGCTTCGTAAAAGTTCAGAAGGGTTTGCATTGACCAGCTCTTCTTCCAATCATTCTGCGCACTTTTACATTGGAAGCTCCTCCGCTGAAGGAACGTGTGACCAGTTTCTAACGGAATTAGAAATTAATTCTAAACCAGTGGCATACTCTCCAGCACAATTTCCTGGAAGAGGTATGTTTAAATGTACTAATTATCATTTTTTAATTTAGAAGATGATATTCCTAATGAGCATACCAAGCCTTCCACAATTGACAATGAATGTATTGCACACGTTATTACTAGATTATCGAGTAGTTCTCCGGATGAAATTTCTTGTGCAGCTGCTTACCTTTGCCACTTAACCTACAAGAATGACGAAGTAAAGGGGATGGTTTGGTATATCATGCATTAAAATTTTTATGCCTATGCCTTTTTTAACACATTTAATACACCGCGTATATTTTTTAAGCGAGTTAGATGGCATAAATGCATTATCAGAGCTGCTTCTTACAACTAATAGGGATGTGAAGAAATACGCCGTTTTTGTCTTGCGCAATCTGTCACATGATCCAACACCAGAAATTCAAGTAATTAATCAATCACATAATTTAATTTATGTAATTTACCTAGAAAAGAATGGATGACGCATCTGTCATTTCCAACCTTCTTGTTGTCTTGAATGAAATTGCTAATGATGAACCTTTTCTGTCTATGTCGACAAACGATAATATTATAGAATCTGCAGCTGCCACTTTATGCAACTTAGCTCTCTATCAAAACTTTAAAGATGCCATCAGTAGAAACTGTGTGCCTTACATGATTAAAACAATAATTCTACCCTATTGCGAGATTATTAAGAACCAAAGTTCGCATGATCAGTCGGAGGGTTCTACTGAAAACACCAAACTTTCAGCTTTCATATATGCAACTGGGACAATAAGGTATTTTTTGGCATTTTTAAATAACGTTTTTGTCATCCAAGAAATTTGTTAGATGAAAATGCTGAAAATCGACACCATCTAAGGGAAACTCCTGGATTTATTAATGCACTCACTTATATTTGCGCTCAGTGCATCGATGATTATGAATATGATTGCAAAGCTCTTGAAAACTGCGTCTGTATTCTACGCAATCTCAGTTTTGCCCTACAAGAAATTCGGGATCCAGCTTATCTGATTCGTAGAGAGGCTGAATATTCAAAATTAACCACCACCCCGAGGGAGGAGAAGAAACTGGAATTCAATTTCCCCCACAGTGAAACTAGAAAAAGACCTCGTGGCTTAGTTATGAGTAATTTTTTTAAAATTTTTTGATCATTTTGTCAAATAGATTTGAGGCGATCCTCTACAACAAATATCTGGATGTCCGGAGGATTGGATTACTTGGAGAGACCACCGTCCAATTTAGAGTGCCTTCAAGGTAGCCGATTACTCTGGGATCTCAGTCTCGTTGAGAATTATATGAGCATTCTTCGCCATTCATCAAATTGTGTTACATTGGAGGCAGCAGCCGGGGCTATTCAGAATCTTACTGCCTGCGACTGGCAACCCAGTGTTGAAGTTCGCTCAATTGTAAATTAAATAAATGTTTTTATAATATTATTGAAGCACTCTTAGAAGGCCAGTTTGCTTTACCCACTTTGAAGGCCTGTCCGAAAAAATTAAAGTTTTAAATTTGAAATGATCGAAGGCAGTGTCTAGGCAGACGTTTCTTGTAAATTTCATAATATTGCAATTTAGGAGTAGCGAAATCATCGTTCTTTTCTTTCCGACCAAGTTCGGGGCAGCGATGCATGGAAACACATTCCTTGATAATTCCCAATAGTTGGCATATACTGAATCATGCCTCCGAGGGTTCTGATAGCCGGTTGAAGACTCTTCTCAGTCGCTTGCCTAGCACATGCCACTACTTCTCCTAATGTGTATCAGCAGACGCTATCGCAATTAAGATTCTACGTGCCCCCCCCCCTTTTAATTCAAAATTTTTCTATCAATTCGCTAATTTTATTCCACTTCATCTGTTCGATATACCCTCAGACCTAATTAACTTTTAAAGTGACTCTGAATCAAGGTTAAAGGTGAGGCCATGAATTGGCTTTATTTTCTTCTTTCAACAGTACTCACTATTCTCTGTTTCTCGCTCGATTCACTTCTATTTATCATTTGTTTAAATTTCTAACTTTCGATAATGACCGTTTTGCACACTTGACAATGCAATCGTTTGCATTAGCATTATTATCAGTATGATTACCCAAATGAATGTGCATTTATTTTAGTTCCACGGTGGAGACAGCATTCTGGTACTAGCAGCCCCGTTGATATCCGAAGATGATGGTCTTGTACAAACAACGGCGACAGCTTTGAGGAATGTAGCAGAGCAAGAAGATTTTCGAAGTCAAATCGCATTCTACGCGATGAGGCTCCTGATATCACGACTGCCGGTTCTACAAGCAACTAATATCATGGATGCAGAAATGGTTCTTCCTACCCAGAACCTTGTTAGCCTACCTACTGCGTCCGCTATTCTTTCTGCGCTCTATGTACTTGTCAAAGACAGTGCGGAACGAGCTTCGTAAGTATTTTTCTTAGTGACTGGTCTTTCTATCATTTATACTTAACATTTTTGAAACACATGATATTAGACCCAGACCTCTCGAATGTTCCGGGGTTTTTGAACTGAAATATACATTCCTTTGACTCATGAGCATTATCTTTTATTCTTAGTTTTGTGAGTACTCAACTTAATGTTCGGTATCAGAGAATTGGCTTTCATTTTCAAACCATTATTCAATACTAAGCTATCAGTTCGCGCATTTGTGTTAAATTTGATAAAAAATGATTAAATCAAGAGGTTAGAAGTGGCCTTTCTCGTACAGCAGTTTGATCATCGCTCAAAGTAATTTAAATACGTGTATACAAGACGAATAGTTCAATCCTTTTCGCCGCATCCTCGTATCAAAATAATTTTGCTTTGCTAAGTGTAGATTCTGAAGTTTAATTCACTTTTTGTATTAAAAGAACTATCTTATCAGTTTTAAATCCGAAAAAAGCCATCTCACGTTACCTTTGCGTTCTTTTTTATTAATAGATGTTAGTTTTACATAAAATTTATTATTTAGAGCCACTTTTAACTTGTTTAAAGTTAATTTATGAATTTCAACTTAGTTAGATTTAAATTTTATTTAAACCACTCTTCTTTATCATGCTAGAAGCACCTACTGTTATTTCCATTAAACCTAGTTTTTCGTTTTAGATTTATAATAGAGTTAAAATATCTGGGAAAAATTTGAAGCTTTCAGAGGATTTAACGTGATTCCTTCTCTCTCTAGTTGAGTCGCTAAAAACAATTCAAGAAAATCAGGTCGATAGATTCCCTGCATTAATAATCCCTTCCCTCAAATTAAAAGAAAGAGCCTGTCAAAGGCTATTTATGCAGTTTAAAATATAACCTAAAGTAGCTCTTATCCGTATAAAAATCTCAGTTAAGTTCCATAGAAAGCTGGGCTAGATATTCTCTGATCCTACTGAGGCTAATGGTGAGAAGACAGAGAGTTGGGTCAGACTAACTTGAATTGGGCAATTGTGAATAAATGAGTAAGATGAGGAATTGGGGGGGGGGGGAGAGAGGGGAGTCATCAACAGTGGGAGAGAGAGAGAGAGAATGATTCTTATTTTAAAGTACAGGCGGGATGAAGTACGATTAATCGATTTTGCGTTAGTTTTCAATGACAGTTAAGGAGGAAGTACGAGTTAGTTGGTACACAATGTACAGAGGGACTAACCTGGCCTTTAAATCAGGTGGGCATCGGTATTGCACACTATATAACCGGTCAGAGTTCAACCGATACAGTCACTCATGATTTTATTGATACACTTTACTTACTTCATTTGAATCTGACTATTCACGGAAAATCGATCCTTGATGAAAATATTTTCACATTTATGAACGACTACCTCAAGGCGATTGCTGTATGATGCCCATACTCTTTCCATCCTGTTGAAGTTTAATAAAGTCTATAAGTAGGCACGTTTGGCAGTTGGTACAACGGTCTTCTTTTGAATTCTACAGGAGTTTTAGAAAGAAATGTGGATGGATTTTATAATTCATTGTTCAATGTGATCAAGTTCGAACAATAATAAAGAGCATAATCGTTTAAAATGTCATTAGTTTCGATTGGTTCGGTTCTTCGTGTGGGGTCATTTTGTCTTTATGGAAAAGCTTCCACCAGTACCTCCTAGAATTAAAGCAACAAAAGTGTTAATCGAAATTCCTAAAAGTCTAACCAGACCAACCTAATACATTATATATATATATATTATTTTCTCAAGCTCTATAATCTAATGTCTGCGTCTTGTCAGTGTTTTGAATTCGAAATACAGTGGTGTTCTATTTCAGGCTGTTTTTGGATTGTGGTGGTATACAACCATGCATGGCGATAGCACATACCGGTCTTTATCTGGACCCTAAGGACCCAATACCTTCCAATAGAGACAAGACAGTTCGATTCGCTCGCTTTCTACTTCAAACCCTCTGGAAGCAAAAGGAACTTCGTGAGCGTCTCCAGAAAGCCGGTTGGCGTGCTGCTCACTTCTGCATACGTGAACCGATCATTCGACCTGCGCTTAAGCAATGCTTCCTAACTAACACTCAACCAACTGACACAAAACAAGTTGCCACTGGAGAAACACGACTTATTGGCACTCCCGTACCTCTTGGACGGGTTAATGAGAAAGGAGAGTTGATTCAAGAAGATAAGGAGGTTGCTCTACCTGTGGTTAGATTTTATTTTTATTTTTATTTGTTAAAACGTTCAAGTAAACTACGTTATTCACTTCAACTGGATCGGAAATTTACAGAAGCAGAAGGTTCACAGTAGTAAAACAGAAAATGTCTCAGTAGTATACCATATAGCTCACTATACTGAATAGGTTGATATGGAGAAATTTTTTAAATAATTTGTTTTATGAGAGGTGAGCAACATAAAATTTTTCACTAGTTTTTTGCTGATTGAATCCTGCAGTGTCGCTATGACAAAAGACACGTGTTTGTGATGTGTTTGTTTATCGAAGTTTACGATGTTCACTTTCAACAAAGGCTTTAAATTGTTTGAAAATTATTTGTAATGCTCTGTATGTACTGACTTTAAATAAAAATGCAATATTAATTTACTTTTCTGCATTTATTTGGGACAATTTTATTATTTGTCTTTTATCTTAGTCCTACGCTAGTATTAACTACTTAAGTTCAAACTGGACCATTTTACTCTTTTTTTGATTTTGAAAGAGAGCGGAGATTAGCTTGGAAGTTTTAGCAAGCAAACACGTTCGTCGGTTCACCAATATCTCCCCTTCTCATACACCTTTTGAAAAGAGTTGATAACACCGAGGGTCTGATTTGAGTTGTTCAAGCCAATTCTCCGAATTAAAAGTCAGGAATTCGCAAAATTTGTTGATTAGGAAATCAATAACGTTTCACCGATTGTTTTGCCCGCCTTGTGCAAACTTACCCGGTAGTTAAGCTCACATTTCTCCACATACACGCCAAGGTTTTCGTCATGTGCCTTAGCACTCATCTTTTGCCTGCTTACAGGACCAACATTATTTATTAAGGCGTATTCTGAGCACTCTTTAATTTGTCAAACAATAGTGGACAAACTATGAAGTTTCACCATAATATTAAGTCATATAACATCTCTGGGAGAGCCAAAATATGCATAGAAATTCAGTGGATAATCATTGTGCTTATCTAAATGAAGAAATGACTGATTAAGACTTGAACATGCTTCCACCAAAGTACTTTCTCATACTTCATTTTCATTGTTAAGTTGGATCTTTGTATAAGCCTTCCAGCAGCTATCTGTGTTTCAGGACAGCGTCAGTTTGCTTGGTATTAGTTAGATCAGAAAAAAATGAGCGGTGAATCAAAGGCCTTCCTTAAGTCAACAATGGAAAGTAGTGTTCCAAAATGCCAGTTGACATCGCTTAGATCATTGTTCCTTAGATAAGGATTGCTTGTTCTGTGGACATTGAGCTCAAAAATCATGCTCCAGATCTGATAGCCATTCACTTGAACTTAGATTAAACCTCTCACTGACCATCGGTACAGATCATTTCCGATCATATCAAGAAGGTAAACAGTTCAATAATTAGATGGGTCAGTTCCTACCCTCTCATCTTCGTAAATTTTGATTGTCTCTAATTTCATATCCAGAACCGGAATATGGGGATCCCACTACACCACCAAACATTAAAGATTTTCAATAAGTAGGTGTTTAGTGATGGCCAGCCCCTCCTCTCGACGAATTCAGACAGTTAGCCGTGAAATCCATGACATTCGAAGTTTGTGACTTACTTTTTGCTCTTTTTAGTTTATGTTTTTCTTTCAAATCTTTTGGCAGTTATGGAATGTTTGAGCTTACATCAGATGGTAGCGGTCGATAAGTAAACAATTTATGGTGATGCTTAGCCAGAGAGGTTGCACAAATGAGAAGTTTATTTTGTTTCGAATTAGAGTAGATTGGAGGGATTGTCAGAACTTGTTGGAGTAAGTTGCAGATTTCTCTAGGTTCATCTTTATTAGTCAACAAAGAGTTCAGACAAATTTTATTTTAAGTATACAATTCATACATACAATATTAACATGGTTGCATTATTTCAATAATTTTCATTGGCGGCATATGATTCAGGGGTCGATGAGCTGATCACTCTTTCGTGGACCTCCACCCCAATAATAGTGTTGTTTACAACTTCATCCATTTAGCTATTTCATAATATGAGTTATTTTTAAAACTTTGAAACTACTTTTTTACGAATAGATTTTTTGGTGTCTTAGCAAAACATTTATCAAATACGTATACTACAATTGTCACTTATTCAAGCACCTCTAGATACTGTCATTTATGATTTGATAAGAAGTAAGTTCCCTCTCATTCTGGTGGTAAAATTATTGGATGATTTATGTGCCCAAAACATTTTGCTGGTATAGCTACAGTCAGCGTTTGCACACGCCTCCTCGGCAAAAGTGTCTCCAATTCAACATGAAACCATGCTCAAGGACGGTAAAATTTATGGGAAAAATGTTGGGGACAAAGATTATTTCCGTCACTAGAACTAAATGGACACAATATCTATACCTGTGTCACTAGCTATTTCTATATATGTGTGTGTTTCAAATATATACATTTATTTCAAATGGCAGGCTTTGCGTTAGTTATCATTATCACTTTAGTTAACTTCGGGCTTCACAGAGGGGAAGAACATCAAAATGAGAAAAGTCGGTGGGGGGGGGGGGGGGGGGAAATAGCACAGTGGTTCACGAAAGTAAAAGAGACTGAGAGACACAAAGGTAGAAAAAAGGTAAGATGAGTACTGTAGGGTAATGGTAGTTTGAAGTCAGAAGTCCATTGCCGGTTAATAGACTTTTTGCCGCATGAGTATACGTTGCCCAGGGTGCACCAAGTGGAGGTATGTCTATCGCACACCCTTGTTTCAAATATATTAATATAATTACAATGCCTTCAGTTGTTTTCATAACCAATCACTAAGTGAATTGGTCGTTCCCCTGAAATTATACCCAACCCCCCCCCCCCCCCCCCCCTACCCCCTGGTAGCCTTATTTAAGCGAAACTTATCAATAGAGTCGACACGCGATTGAGTAATTATGGTGTTAAATTGACATTGCGTGCAAATGGACAACCACGCAATAAAATACTTTATCAAACTAACATAGCATTCATAGTTTCTTAATTATAAACCACTGTTCAACAGTTTTTTTGCATAATTGTTTCTAAACATACGGGATGTTAATACGAAATGCGGTATAAATTTGGTTGAGTATCTGATTTGAAGATTATTTTTCTTTTGTATTTTTTGTCAACTAAAAATATTTACATATGTAATCATGTATTTTAAGTAAAGATACTTATATTTATTATTAATCTACAATTTAATTTGGCTTTTAATAAGGGGATTAAAAGATCGATTTTTTTATTTAGATCATGCTTTGAATTGTGAGGAAGTGCATAAAAGTTGTTGAATAAGTTACAAACATCAAATTCATATACCGAACTCATCTTTTGCGCTTTACTACCTTATTTCATTTAGAGATAAATACATTATACATATCAAGAATTTTTTCAGTCTATATCATTTTAAAGTAGATTTAATCCAAGAAACATTGAGATAACATTTAATTTACTTTTGTTATTTACATTTTTTATGTGTCATTAACACAGATTCAAACCATTTTCTTCCGCATTCTGGATAGTGTGTAATTTAACTTTCTATATGCAAGGAGTAGTGGGGCCAATTTACTCCCCTCGTGTGGCGTGTAGCGGATGCTTCGTAAAACATTTTGACCTAACCTCAGCTAACCCTTCTGATCATGCAGTACCTATTCTTTGGTGGGTTGGGTGATAAGGCTCTACACTCACGACTGCTCATGCGGTCTAACCCGACCAGTCGCACCTCCTCAGACTCCAGACTATTCAAGAGCGCGAGAGATTCCTTGATTCTGTCGTGTTAGCGTTATACACCCTCCACAAGCTCAAGTGAACGATCATGGTCACCTCAATCCCCGACACGCATCTAGTGAAAAGCTGTGTTAGCATTAATGGTCGAGAATTCTCCACGATAAGCCATAGTATGCGAGTTTCTCATTATGAATATTCCAGGAAGTTGCATTCAGTGTCAAGTAGCGCTTCCTTTAGGTAAACTTTGAGCTGGAATAAATATTACCTTTGGCTTGGAATAGAAAGTAAAAGTGCACCCGAATAGACTTAAATGTGCAAATCGAGGTGAAATGAGACTTTGTGTTCTAATTTTTGGTGAATTTCCTAATTTAATTTTTTTGTCTTTTAACTTGATTTATGCACTATTGCGTTTAGATTTATCCTCAATAAAGCAAATTCTACTTCGTTTAAATAGAGGGCGGGACCGGATTTTCCTAGTTCCTCCAGTAGCGGTCGAACGCCAATACCTACTCCACGAGGTTCCCTCAAACCAGCCACCTCTGCCCTCGATTTGTCTCAACCGTTGCATAACGGCGGTAAGTGGCAAAGTTTTAGGATATCAAGTTTATTTTTTTTTAAAGTTTCTTCGACCCGGGAAAGAAAATTATGGAAGTTGATGTCGGGTTTATTTACTCAGGTTTAACATTGCAATCATTTATTATATTATAAGTTTGTTTACTATTTTTAATGAATTGCATGCTATGGGAAATATTAACTAAAATTGACTCTATTGCAGTGGTATACCCGCATTCGATTCCTGGGTCAGCACCTCTACTCCAATTGGTATGATTGAGCACTTAAGCTGGTGTTTGGCATGAATTTGCTTACGTTACTTACAATGTCTTCTCAAATTTAAGCCGGATTCACCATCAGCTCAAGGTCGTATTAGTAGACGAGCATCGCGTTTGAGCGTAGTCTCTGGGGTACCAATGCGTTCATATTCACAAAATGGTGTGTTGAGTACTATTTAAGTAACCATTGCAAATAGATTATTTCAAATACTCTATATTCTGAGGAAAATTACGTTTAGTCTATTCTTTATAAAGTTATTATCTAATACCGAGAAAGGCATATTCTCTTCCACTTACATGGTCAAAGTAAAACGGCAGCCTTGGGAAACAGCAGCAAGTGACGTTAAAATTGATAAATAACGAGGAAGTAAGTGAGGTGTTGATCTTAAAGTTAATGAAACGGAATTTAGATTCTAGATGGTCTGGCTGAGCCAGATCCTTTTCATAATCGACAAGTTATACGAAGCTGATTAAATTGGTTGACCGTGCCGTCTCTACTGTAAATGTCAATTAAGGTTAGCTTATATCGCAGCACAACTTGCATTAGGATATTAGAATGAAAAAAGAGTGATGAATGTTTTCGAGAAGAAATTAAGTAAAATTTAAATGCATGGAAATTGCCATGAACTAATGATATCTAATGACGAGCTAATTAAAACATGAAGTACACTTAAGCCGTCTCCAGCCTGCTTAAACGGGAAAAAAATTTTCCTTCAAGGTGGCAAAGAATCGAAAAATTTAAATTAGAGAAAATAAAAAGGTCGTGGGAAAACCCACAGGAAGTCTGCAATGAGTAGCGAACACTGGGAAACATGATTGTAAAGCGTTAGCCAAGTACCGCATCCAGTTAAAAAGATATAGTTTTGGAAGTTAAGCGAATGCATATTCACGATTTTTGGTCCACGCATTTCATATCTATGATCACTTTCATGGAGCTACTGTCCACTACTTAATAAATTTTAGCACCATATGCACTTCCAAGTCCTAAGTCGGCAACGCAGCTCCAATTGGTAAGGTTGAGTTCTTGCGCTGAAGCTTGGTATTGAATGTGTTCATTGCTTTTGAATATGCTCTTATTAATATCAAGACGGATTCACCTTCGCTTGCTCAAAGGCCTATTAGCGGGAGAGCGTCGTTTTTGAGCGTAGCTCATAGGGGATCTACATCTTCCCATTCACAAAGTGGTACAGTGAATGCTGCACTAATGAATTACGATATACATCTTTTTTTATTAAATAATTGCACATTTTCTGGTGGAGGATTTTTTGTGTCAATTCTTTGCTTAGTAAATGTCGCACGCGGTTCGGGGTGTAGTGTGGCACTAATCCTAGCAGTAACTCTACCGAGTTAGCCTCATAATTATCCCTAACAGATCTTATAATCTTTAACTGGTGTAGCTAAGTTCGTCACATGATCATTGTATTGACGGACTGCGATACAATGCCATAATGAGGTCTAAAAATTCTATGCTTTCTCATGTGCGTACTACGGATTATAACTTGAAGCATAACTTGAATTTCGAAATCAAGTTGATTAATACGCTTTAAGCCCACTCCTGATCATTTATCATTCCAAAAAGTTGACGTTACAATAATGTTGAAATCGCCTTGAATAAGAGTATTATTGATATTTCAGTGATCAAATGTAGTGAATTTAACTCGAGCAACAGATACTCTTTCCAAACGAAATTTTTATATCCCTTTCGTAACTAACTTGATTGATAGGATATTTTGAACATTCAACACAGGACATCTGTCAAGAACCCCATTAACGACAAAGGAATTCATACTTGTGATTGCCAAAAAAATTTCCCTAATTCATGACATACTGGGTGGACAACCAAACGAGCTCCACGAAGTGGAAGAAACAATGAGTTGTCAAAGGATTTCCTCATTGACTTGTCAAGTTATATCAAAACTGTCTAATCAGGTTGCATTCAACCACGTTTGCGTAGACGACATTGAAACATTCTAAAATTTAAAATAATGATCAATATGATGTGTCATATTCAAGTACTAAATAATCAATATAATTTGCTATCACTCATAGCGGTATGCAGTTAGTAAATGAAGCAGAGCAAACCCTATGCATTTTGTATGACTTTGATTTTACTAACTATTTCCTTTCAGTACTAGACGCGCTACCTAATGCTAAGTCGACATCATTGCTACAGTTGGTATGGTTGAGCTCATTTGCCGTTGCTTGCATATGCATATTAACTTTGAATTCCCTCTTTCTGTATTCAAGCCAGATTCTCCTCCACCTCCTCAAGGACGCATTAGTAGACAGCCGTCGCGATTGAGCACAGCCCCTGAGGGATTAAGGTCGCAAACTCCGTGCGCACGTTCACAAGAAAGTGGGTCAAATGTTACTGAAATAAACAGTAACAATTTATAAGTCAATTTTTAGTCACTCTAATATTTGTCAATACCTAAGTTGCGTATTATCAAGTGAAGAGCTCGATAACTGATAATCAGAAAACCTTAGTACTATCATTTCCCAATCATAATTGAGAGTTGGGAACAATTTCTTAGATGATTAGGGCACTATTAAGAGTTCTATCTGATTTGAAGCATTAATATGTTCATTTTTTTGTAAGGAGTGTGGTTATGTTTGCGGCACTCTTCCGTGGATGGTCATGATATTTCAGTCCGTTTGCGGGTTCTTAAAAATTGAGAACTTATGCATGTCTTTTATTGAATTCTATCACTCATGTCAATGTGCAATGATAAGTGTAAAGAACGTTTTCTATTCTATTTTGCAACAATTAGTTTTGACTAAATTTGCAGGTAGTTTGTTCTCAAATACGACTTATTTTATATTTGTCTCCGCTAACGGTTAGTTTTGCCCACGGTTCTAGGCTGTTAACCACGGATCTTGGGAGGCCTAAACCAGAACTCCAAGTTTATTATCTATCAAAAAAATTAGAATAAGGGAAGAGGCATTTTGAGCTAATAATGAAACGAGTTGTGTCTTAAGCAATTTCGTTTAGTCCTACTCCAAATTTTCTTGCTCTACTCGAGGAAAGTCTTGAGCTTGGCTGAAGGTTATGGACAACGTTGAACTCTTTTAATGAGTATTTGACGCTTACTTGCTGATGTCTCAAGTTCTTTGTACTCCGCTGCCAAGTATTATGATATATGATCAACCCCTGTGTGCTACAACGTGTGTTTCAACTTGCTTTCAAACCCACAAGAGGGTGAATACTTGGATTCAATTATATAAGACCTAGTCCGCTAACCAGACAAAATGTATAAATGCCTTCTTTTGGAATTCAGTTATTTATCGAGTGGAATTAGGTTTGACAGGATTAGGCTTTACTGGAGAAGATAAAAGCAATTATTCTAATTGAATGTTTGATTCCGGTAGAAAATGATTTGTCGAATGATAGACCAGTCCGTGAGTGCATACCAAATTTATCATGACATGGCCTCTTATTAGCTATTGGAAGATGTCTAGTGCCGATGATATGAAATTGTTATTGTTCAACTTCGTTACTGTCTAAAATAGGCCTAACAATTGTGGTTGGAAAATCGAACCAAAAATATTTTTTCACTTGAAATTATAAAGCATTGGTCTAAAGTAAATGGGTTCTTTGCATTTTTATATGAATTTTCCTTTTTTAGGAGGAGGATATTTCTCGCGACTTAATGTTGTAAGTTCGCGTGTATTCCTATTTAAACACCAATTTTCTTTTAATTAAAGCATTAAGAAAATATTTCAAGAAAAGTAGTAGAAAATTTTAAATAAAAAAAACAATAAAATACCCAGATGTCTTCCATTTGCCATTGTGAAAATCTGTCGAGTAGATTTATTCTCTATTTTTCTTTAATTTTCAATAAATTTGCTTTCCGGGAAAATAATAGATATCACGTAAGAGTGCCATCAGATTTAGGGAGATACAATGAGTTACTAAGATTGGGGATGTGTCAGCCCAAAAAGAAGGGTATATAGAAATTCGTATTAGTTTAGGTAAATAATTCGTGGAATAAGAGTCCTTTTGAATAGTTCTTTTAATCTATTTTCACCATAAGTAATTGCATTCTTTTGTTAAAACAGGTTAAGTCGATTCCCATACCTTTCACTGTCACAATTTGAATAATCGATTTTTAAAGAGAGTATTTGTTGGATTGTGGAAGCTTATTTAAACGGTGCCAAAGAAGTGATCACAGCTTAATAAGTATTGAACTGCTTTATATATTGTGCTGAATAAATGATTTAGCAATAACGCTATGTAACCTTGAAATTAGTATGACAAATCAACTTATAATTAAGTTGAAATGGGTAATTTTGTAACCATCAGGACAGCAAGTTCGACTTAGACCACATATAGGGGTGGCGATAAGTGATTGAATAAAAGGTGGCCATGAAATGAACGGTAAAAACCAAGTCAGTTATTTAAATCTCCATTGGAGTTTTTATGCGTCGATTAAGGACTATAGTTATTCGATATAAACATTATAATTAAACAAACATTCATTAATCTTTACAGCTTCGAAAAAAGAAGTACAAAAATGCGAAAGTAAACCTAACCACATAATTCACTGCATTTTTAGTTGCAACCAACAGAAAGTGGCGAAGGCCTACTTTTCTAAAAAATTAATTTTAACATTACTTTTAACGCCCATTATTGCTTTAATAAACCCGGCATCGTCAGGAAGATTATCTTATCGATTACTTCGCTTTAGCCACAAGTTATCGCGCAACATCCAACTCCAAAAAGAGAGATTCACATCGAGAGGTCGGTCAGTCCATTCTTGAGACCCTCGCCATCAAACCAGGACATCAGATCACTGGGTAGATGTTTTCGGAATCACTTATTTATGTACATGTATCCCCATTTTTTATGCCTTAATGCGATTCTTTTTAAAGTTCCAACTACGCCTTCTAGAGCCCGCAACCAACTGTGTGTGGTGAGTTATCTTTGATTGTGTTTTTAAATTTATAAAATTAAAAATAACGAACTTTTAGTTTATATATATTATATTTTTTAGCAATATTTATTGCTATTTTTAAACAACTAGATGAGGATAATGTTGGAACTATTTATAGTCGTTCACATTTATTCTTTGCTAATAAACTTTAAGATATCATTTCGATCTTGAAAAAGTTGTAAAAAATAAAACAAACTTAAATATATAAAGTAAATATAATTTCAATATGGTTTTCAGCTCATTTAAACATGTGAAAATAATGTTTTTCTTCGTTGATGCAATCTCAGAGCCTAATTTCATTTTCAACAACATGTCGTGATATCTGTTTTTATTCTATTGCCAAGTTGGGTCCCTTTCCTTGACGTAAGTCATAGTTGAGACGTAACAAATTGAAGGCAGTTTATTTGCCTGATATTTGTTGACTTTCTCATGAATAGGCAATAACATTTTCATTCTAACTTAAAGACCACAAAAATTGAGCCCATGCAAGACGTGTTTCGACACGCCTTTAGAGCTTCTTATTGCTAACAAAATGCTTCCTTTATCAAGTCGCCAACCTTAAAACATTGTATGGTTAAACCTCCAACCACCCCAGGCTGCTGGTGGTAGAATAACAGAATACGTCAAATTTAGATTAGTGCTGGAAGGGTTTGTGTTCGACGGTCAGAAGGGGGGGGGGTTTCGAAGACACGCTCCATATTCTCTAAACTTAAGTCAGGGGGGCAAAACTTTGGTAATTCAAGAACCGGAACAAATATAGTTAATTACACTTCAAATGATTATTTTGTCATTTCTGTATTCTTGTTCTAGCCTGGTCAGGAGGGAACGCTGGGTGGTCCGCGTATTGATTTACACCGTAGTGCAAGTGATATGGTCCTGGAAATTCCAGGGGAAGATCGTTCACTTGCCAGAAGAAGCATACATCATTCCAATTCCGACATGTCGCCAACAATGGGTAAGCTAAACTTTGAGTTTCAAATTAAATCTAGTTCGTTTTTCAAATCAGTATATATATATATATATACGTGCATTTTCACTGTTCTTTGAAATAACTACATTTTGTGATAAAATTATTGAACCCTAAATAGGATAATTAACGGAATCTGTAAGACATAAGTAGGGATGTGATATACGTGAAGGTCAAGAATTGACCAATTGCCAGTTATGGTTGCTGAGACTCATAGTGGCCAAAGCCAACTTTGTTGCTTAACAGATCGTCTGCACATGTTTTAAATTTGCTTGAATATCTCATTCCGCTGTAATTGCCAACAATTTCGCTCGCTTGAAGATGTTCGTTGATTAAAATCGCCTGTAACCTTTAAGCAGTGACTAACCTACGTTCAACTATACGCTAAATTCCACTGTCTTGCTAAATTAGCTAAAGATCTGTAAATTTTATCATCGATTACGGTGAAAAATAAGTATTCCAAGCCTAGAAATCAAAGAAGTACAAATCGATCGAATTGTGCTACACAATATGGAATTTAAATTTGAGCCAGTATGCTAGTATGCTAGCCATTGCACTCAATCCTGGGCAAGTGTTTGAATTCAAAGACAAAATAATCTCGCGTTGAAAACGATTTGTATTAACGAAATTTCTCAAATGCGTTTTTAGCTGATGCTTGAGCGGTAGCTTCATTCCAGTAAAGTGCCTGCTAGCCTATTTGTAGAGACATTTTAATAAACATCTAAATCTCAAAAATCCATCTTTCCATATTTCATATTTTCCAGAGGTTGCCCATTCTCCTATGCATATTATTCCCCCCACGCCTAAAGTCCGACCTCCCGTTGTTCCAGCTTCATCATCTCGTCCGCATCCTCCAAAACACCCCAAAGATTGGGTGCAATCTTCTAACCAAAGCTTGGTATTTGATTACTGTTAAAGTCAAAAACCTAGATCGCACTTTCTCTGTGAAAATGTACTAAAAAAATGTACTTTTTTCTTCCAAGCTGATGAAAAATAATGGAGATCTTCTATCCTGGTCTTCATCATCGAGAAGTTCTAGTTACCGTCTTACGGCTCCACCAAGAAAATCTCATGTTAGTTAATTATAATAGTCTTCTCTTTTTTGTTACTAAAATTGTTAAAAAAGGAGGGGTTCAACTTGGAGGCAATTTATGTTTAAAAACGTCTTCATATTCTTCAAATTCACACAAGAAACAGAAAGTATATTTTCTTATGACTCTATGGAGATTCTATTTTATGGGAGATTAAAGTATTATACTAACTACTTTTCATTTTCAACTAACTTTGTTTATTTTATTTATTTATATCAAATGGCAGGCGTCTTGATCGTTATCATTAGGCCTTTAGTTGACTTCAGACTTCACAGAGGGGAAGGAACATCAAATTGAAAAAAGTCGAGAGGGGGGGGGGAGGGAAGAGAAGAGTGTTTCAAAGATGTAAGGGACAAACACAAAGGTAGAAAAAAAGGTGAGGTGAGTACTGTGGAAATATTCGAATATGGCATAGAGTGAGGTGATGGCAGTTTGAAGTGAGAAGTCAAATGCCAGTTAATAGACTTTTTGCCGTATGAGTATACGTTGCCCAGGGTGCACCACGTGGAGGTAAGTCTATCGCACACCCCTTTTCAACTAAATAGTATGAAAGAAAATTGGTTTGAATCACTACTAATTAAGACTACCTTGCAGATAACACAATATAATTAGGAAAACCTTAAAGGTCAATAAGTTTATGAATGCTAGAAATATGGATCGTGGGTGTGAGAGAAATCGACTATATTCCACCGTGGCTTTCTGCATAAGACCCGAAGCTGGCAATATCTGTATGCTTGTTTTATTCTGCGTTCATTCTGGTTACCGTTCTAATAAATGCTTCAATACTGTCTGGTGAGAGTGTTGCCTGGGCCTACTCACAATACCTACGGAACAGTTTGCTTAGTAGCTTGGAGAGTTTAAAACAGATGAAAATAAGGTAAGGATCTTTGAATTTCCTTATCAGCCCACCTCCGGATCATTCGGATGATTTATGAAAGGAATTGGGCAAAGGTAGCGCTAAATATTAGGCAACCAAAATAAGGGTAATAGCAATTAGGTGAAATTGTATGGACTCAGAATTTCCAAGTCAAGGATTGTATAATAGATGTCACCCACTAGGGTAAATATAAGTGGGATTGCACGTAGTCTTATTGGAACTAATAATCCAAAATGCAATTATTTTATAATTTAATCATTTATTTACCATGTTAGATTTTTGAAGCATTTTTTTTTGTTTTTTCCTTTCAGTGAACTTCTGAAGTAACTCTACATTAATCGAGGAACCTAAAGTGAAACCCGAGAGAACTTGGACAATACTTCTTATCTTATAAATCATGTTTAATACTTTTCAGAGATTCATTGAATGCTAAAGTCGGATTAACCTTGATTATCATAATTTATGGAAATATAACTTCCGTCCATATTTTAATTCTAAGGTGACTGCGTACTACTTTGATGGAATAAACAATTTTATTGGTTAAATATCTTTCTCAATCATTGGAATACCAGTTTTTTCAATAAACTGAAAAGTAAAAAGGACCCATTGAGTAAAGCCCCTGCAAACTCGATTCACGAGCTATTGTTAAGCTCCGTTTTTTATAATAAATCAGAATGATATTGATTGGTCATGCCTTGCTAGAGGTGGACAATCCGATTCAAGTTGTTCTCTACAAAAATAGAACAATAGTTGTCATTTTTTGTTGATTCTACTGGACTTATTGATTATAATTGTGTGATATCCGGAAATCGAGGGAATTTCATGTATGTAACCTATGCATTCAATGTCATGTAAACACTTTATGGAACATTGGCCTCAAGATATACATAACTATCGCAGGTAGCATTTGCCATCTACATCGCTTTATTTTCACCTTGCCATTAAAATAAATTAAATGAAAGTCATTTCGTATACCATAACGTAATACAGACTCGTCAATTCAAGCCGGCGTGGAAAATCATATTATTGGTGGTAAGTTTGGGACATGCCAGGATTTGGAGTGTGCAGCCGTATACGTAAAGCTCTGCTCCGAGATATTCGTCTATTAATGCTCACTCGAATTGTGCTAGACTTGTTTATTTTGCCGATATCATAATTTACCATAAACGCGTTCTGCCTAATGCGTCTCTTTCCTCCCTAGCTTCGCTGCACCTTAGCTAGTTCAGGGAGTCTAGTCAGATATGGGGGATACTGCCGTAGAGATTTCTGAGACGGTCAAGTCAACTAGTGTAGCAGTCCTCTACATAAGTGCTGGCCTAAGTACAGTAGGTCAATATGACTTAATTTTGACAATAATTACTAACTTTATCTAGTCATTTATATTAAAAATTTTACATAATTACAGTTTTCAACTGAGTAAGCGTTATGTTCCTAAGCGTAAGAGTAGTGAATAGGACGCTAGTTAATTTTATTTCGAAAGAAGACGTTTGTACTAAAACGGATTAGATTGTTTATATATTAAGTGCAAACGCCTTGAAGGACCTAGAGGGATTTGCATAAACAATTTTTTACAAATGCGATAATGGCCGTTCTTATTCTAACTATTTTAGCCACCCCTTAATTAAACGAATTGACTACAGCTGTTAACGAAACAAAATATAATTCGAACTGTCAATAAAAATTAATCGTTTGGTTTCGGTGCAATGGTTTGAGTCATTTTGTGGTATAACGTTGTTGATTTGTATTTGAAAATAGTGCTGGTTCAAAGGAGCTTTAGGAAACAGTTAAGGTAAACGGAAGTGTAGCGGCTTGGTTACCTCAATAATATTGACTATACTCAGAAATCTCTATTACAGATTCTTTACATCTAGCTAGACTCCCAGAAACAGTTAAGCTATAGCCCAGCTACAAAGGAAACAGATGTGTAGTACGGAGCACGTTTATTCAGTACGTATATTGCGGATCAAGTGCGTACACGTAGGGGGCCTAATCATGATGGGGATGGCTGATTAGGTTAAACAGAGGTCGATGATTGGTCACTGGCGAGCAGACATGCAGGCATACGATGACGCACACAGCGAAACGTGTCCCACAGAAGAAATGAGTACCTCATAGTGTACCTCAAGACCGAACCCTAGACCAATAGTGAAACGCCAAAATAATAGTTAATTGGTGTTCCATGCGCATATAGCAAGACAACATATTTGACAGACTTGGTTGAGAAGGATAATCTTAATATAACACTAATTACCAGGCAAGTAGAATGATGATATCTGCCGACAAATAATTATCATTTAAATTAAAATTTAGGAATTTGTTGATTTTGGAGAAGATGCTCTACATGCAATTTTCGGACAAATATATCATATTATGGGTTGCAAAATGCTTGAAAAATTTGTAATTATTGCAATGCTTTCACTTTGTCCATTTAATGAAATAAGATATCCGTTACTCTATTGACTATGACAATTAATCAAATATCAAGATAATTTCTGTTATAAATGCAATTATCGAACAAATTTTGTAAATAGATGTGTGCATTCTAGAACTCTTTCAACAACCGAAAATTAAATACTTTGGTTCGAATGTAATAGCGAACTAAACAATCTATTGATGAAAAAATTATTTTTTATCATCACTAATTTCTTAGTAGGTAATAAAACTGACAAATAGATAAGACTTGAGCGAATAGAATGGCTGGTTAATTACTCCAATTTCAGTTAACAATTACGCTCATCTTTTGCAGGTAGTTAATGTTAATAACTCTTGTTCACAGGTAAAATGGACAATCAAAAATAAATAACAGTTTTCAACTTTGTTTTTAATGTTGATATTTTAGAATAACAACATTTGAATAAAATTTTCTCATAACGTTTAGTGAAAAGCAAGCAAAATTAGTAATATTTTGTGATTTTTTACAATCTTATTAGTAAAGCTCGAATAATTAAATTAGAAATTATTCTAACAATAACCAAAAGTATTTTTCGATTCCATTAATATCTAGTGAATTAAAGGAATTTTGTTGACAATGATGTGCATTGCTGATTTGCATTTTCAGCCACAGTATTTGTTGGTCCTCTTAGAGTTATGGACAGCTATCAACGCCTCAGTGAAAACCCTTTTGCTGATCCTGTAAGTAATTCTTTGCTTTACTTAGTCTATAATTTATTATTTATTGTGTTTAGGATTAAATGATATTTCATATAATGGTTTTTCTTGTTTTGTTCACTCATACGTATATATTATTTAATTAATTCAGAGTACAACTGGTGTTGGTGGTGTTACGGATCACCGTCCACCTGCTACAGTGACCGTAATTCAAGATCAAGGTCTTGATGGCTTTAATCCTTTTGGTGAGAAGGAACCATCAAATACAACTGCACCACCTTATCCAACTTCAACAACACCAAAGCTTACAACTGATGAGCTTCAACGCCGGCAGGAAGAACTTGAACGTCGGGCTGCAGAATTGTCTCGAAGGGAAGAGGAGTACAGACGACTAGAAGAACAAGCCTCTCAATCCGGTGGAATTCCAGGTTCGTGATTATTTAATTATCCTTTGCGAAATGGTTCAGCTTTTTTTATAATTTGTATCAATATTGAGCATGGGATAATGCTTGGTTGCATATTTGGTTACTTTTAAGATTGAAAGACAAACTCATTACTTACTGTGTGTGTGGGTGTGGGGGAGGGGGTTGAACTTATCTCAAGCATATTTTGTGCCAAATCCACAGCAGTCTTAAGTTCTCCTTGGTTTACTGACGTGGTGCAAATTTATGAGAATTCATCAAGTATGACTGATCATTTTCACATTTGAACGTTTAGTAGATACCACCATATTGTAGATTTGATTGTAATTTTCATAATAGCTCACTAACAGTTTTACGATTTTTAGTTTGAACTCTTCAGTTTCATACGCAAGTTTGCATTAATGCCGTTTTCCTGCTTTATTCTTACTCGTATCTTTTCCTGTTGCTGTTATTTTGTTTAAATTACCGTAAATCTAAGTTTTTAGTAGTCACTTCCTTAAGTTGTGTATGAAATTTTGGTGACATTGGTTTGAGCAATTTTTTATGTCCTATTTATACATGCATAATTGTGTGTGTATGCGCCTCTTATTCCCGGTCTTCGATGAGATCTTAATTTCATATTGTTTCATTTTATTGTATTCGCGCCCTTCACTTGGCATTGTATCTTCTTTTCTTATCGTTATTTTCGTTTTCTTGTGTTTTATATAAGTCTAATTATGCGCTTGTTTTCTAGCCTTTAGTAATCTCATAGACATTTCTGATTGCCTCATCCAACAAATTTCCTTTTTTAAATTCTCCACGAAACTGCTATTGTTTAGGACCTTGTAACATTTTCCTTCTAGGTGTCTGTTCGTGGAAGTTTATCATTAATCATTGCCATAGTGTCTTGTTTGTATATCTGTGAATATATCGTTGGTTCGACCTCCAAGAGTTCATAACTGGCTGCTGATTGTTTCTTGGATTTAAAACCATTTGTATGGGAGCAACGTCAAAATAATCGTAGTTGTGTTAATAGAGGAGCTTTTCTCATATCTAGTGTCCAAGTAACGAGATGTGTTACTTAGTTATCTAACACAAATTGCTCCAATGGAAGCCCAAGCTCTCTCTCTCGTTTTTGGGTTTTATTTGAAATTTATCTGCTTTTAAAAAATTCCTTAGCCATTTCCAACATCTCTTGAACGAGATTTTTTCAAAGTCTTATTTGTGTAAAACACTGTTTTGAGATGGTATCACATTACAATGTGAATTTTCTCTATATTTATTTATTCATAACAAATGGCAGGCGTTTTGATAGTTATCATTATCCCTTTAGTTGACTTCGGGCTTCACAGAGGGGAGGAGGAACATTAAAGTGAGAAGAATTCAGGAGGGGGAATAGAAGGGTGTTTCAAAGATGTAAAAGAAACAGACACAAAGGCTCAGAAAGGGTAAGATGAGAAGTGGTAGGGGTCGAATATGACATACAGTGGGGGTGATGGTTGTTTGAAGTGAGAAGTCAACTGCCGATCAATAGACTTTTTTGCCGCATGAGTATACGTTGCCCAGGGTGCACCACGTGGAGGTAAGTCTATCGCACACCCCATTTTCTCTATATCATATACTGCGTTTGAAATCATACTTCTGAAGCCAGTTTGGGTAAGTGAACTTTACTAAAATAGTACTTAGAACAACTTCTACCTTTTGCAGAAAAAAATGCTTTATTAATTTTCGTGGTCACTTACCTTTCAGCCTCTATCGTGTTTGCGCTTGTTACCGATTGGGCGTTATCCATACGTTTTTATATTCTAGTTTATTACTTTCTACTTATTATTAACAAGTAGATGTATTTTAAACTTCCCATATCATACTTGCAGCTTTACGCAAAAATTGGCCCCCTCTCCCAAGCTTCTGCCCCTGCTCTCCTTGCTTTTATCAAAATATTGATTTGGACATCAATGCGGAGTTTCGCCAATTAGTTACCTATGGTTATTACATTTGGATATCCTACGCCGCTCTTCTGGCCCTCA